CACGTCCCCCGCGTAATCTACGCCCCTGTGTGAATGTCAGGTTGTCCATTAGTTGCTCTACAAAAAAACCTGTAAACAGTATCCAACAGACCTGTCAACGTCATTAATAGCATAAATTAATTGTACATTATATGATATTTAAAAAAACTGTATAATATCATTACAAAAAAATATGTAAAACATTGCTCTAAGCAGTAAAATCTAACTATAACATCACATTTGTTAACATTTTCTACGCTTGTTTTCCATTTAATGTCTGTAAAAGTGTAAGTAAGATTGAAGTCTGTATTTTTTGTAAATTAGACACATTATTTGTCTGTTTGTTTTTCAGTCTATATTAATTGGCACACATTTAAATAAAAATCAGTTATAATAACACAATCACTACATAGTAAATTAAACCAAAGAACCTGGACTCTGTTGTAGCTAAAGTAAAGTAATACCTTGAAGAAGTATTGCTACGTTTTGTCAAGATGGTTGACAGATCGCTTCAAGTTGTCAAGTTAACTGATTAGCAGCCTATTCTATCAGTATTCAAGGATACATAAATTTAAAATTATCTCTCAAGCTCGCCGCCGCTCACTCAAGCCCGCCGTGTGTGATGCTGTGTGTTTCGTTGTGAAAGCGAAACTACTTTGTTTGGCCTTCCAAAAGAGGACACGACTAGAAATCAGTGGTTAAGCTGTATTTACAACACTGTTCCAGAACAGTTCAACCCAAATATTCAGATGTGTGCAGCACATTTTATGGAGGACCGTTTCCTGATCCAGGTAGAGTAGACTACAATGCCGGCTGTTCTGACTCACAGACTGTAAGTACGTTTTCATTTGAAGGATTTGCCACTGACGATTCAAACGCGAGTTTTTTGGGCAGTGTAGAGTAGGGCTTGTTGTTTGTCATTTCTCCGATCACAAATGCAGACATGGTTTTATGTTTACGCACGCGATGCAATGCACTGCGTAAAAAGACAGTATAAGTCATTATAATCCGTAATTATGTCCCCACTGGATGCAACAAATGCCTCGTTTATAATGGGTAAATGCCTCGTCGCTCCACCACAGTATGGTAAGGGGCGTAACATTTCCGTCACATGCTTGAGGTATTCGGCCAATCACAATACACTGGACAGCTGGCCAATCACAGCACACCTCGCTTTTCAGACCGATGAGCTTTGTAAAAAATCGACATGTTTCAGAAAGGCAGGGCATAGAGGAGAAACAATAATGTACAGTATGTGGAAAATAATGTGTTTTTTGAACCTTAAACCGCATAAACACATTTAATTACACCAAATACACAAAATAATGTTCTTTTTAGCAACATCATATGACCCCTTTAAATATGCTGTATAAATAAATGAAGTTAAAGTTGAAGTTGTGAACAATGCTCTCTTATAATTGTGGCATCACCGTTTAGTGATGTCATTGAATGTTCTGGGAAAACTTAAAGGGTTAGTTCACCCAAAAATTCTGTCATTAATTACTCACCCTCATGTCGTTTCAAACCCGTAAGACCTTCGTTCATCTTCGGAACACAAATTAAGATATTTTTGATAGAATCTGAGAACTGTCTGACCCTGCAAAGACAGCAACTCAACTGAAAAGTTCCCAAGTCCAGAAACGTAGCAAGGAGATTGGTAACATAATCCATGTGACATCAGTGGTTCATCCGCAATTATACAAAGCTACGAGAATACTTTTTGTGCGCAAAAGACCCCCCAAAAATATATATATATATATACATATATATTACATTTCAGACATTCCTTATAATTAATTTATTTCAGATTAACTTTATTTCTGTACCAAAGTTTTATAAACTTTTGTCTTATTTCTTTGGTTTGTAAACCATATACTACAGGATTTAGTCGAAAAACAACAAAAAAAACAAACACTTTATTCAACAAATCGTCTCCTCCGCATCACCCTGGTGCCATTTTAGAGAATATTCGCTGGACGTAAACAATGTATGCTATTCTGTGTCAGCTGCGTCACACGGATACGCTGTTTCTATTCAGATCAAATCACAACAGCGTAGGAAACAGATCTGGTGTGACGCAGCTAGCTGTCAAAAAAAAGTCAAAATAGACAATATTTTTTTTGTGTGTTTCTTATACATCATTTGAATTAAACATTTTTATACAAGTTCATATGTAGTACATTACTGGAATTAAATTGGCTAAATGTTGAAACATATCTGACAGAACAAGAGAGGGAAAAATGCATAAAAAAAGTTAATCAGTGTGTTGCGACTAAATTACATTTCATGAATATTTTAAAACAAGGTTGTGATTATTTTGTCAAGAAAAGTATGGACTAAATTATTTTAATTAATTAATTAATTTTAATTAATTGTAATTATCTAAATATTTTTACAGTAGCACTAGTGATATTTGTTTTTTTTTATGCAGAGAATATATATATATATATATATATATATACATAT